ATTTTAAGCGAAATTATTTTAACAGGGTTAAAGTTTTGAAATTTCGAAAATACATACAAACTGGTGCACGAAGTACCATTTAATTATCTCGTTAAAACTATACTAGAGAAATATCGAGTTTTTTAACTGTGAGCAAATTCTATACTTCATGAAAATTCTGTTAGGTAATGTGACATCACGAATTGGAATTAGATTAATTGAGATAAAGACATACACACCAGTTTAAAATCAGGTGGTTTAACGTCGAATAAAAATAAATATAATAATTGTAAAATACATTTGAAAGATATATATTAAAAGGTAAATAGTGCAAACTCGAGCATCCTTTTTCTTTTTTCCTTCTAAAGGAAGAAAGATGTACGAGTGACTTCACAATCATATATGCTAGGTACGTCAGCATCATTGCATTAAGAACGCACTAGTGATATGCGCTAATAATATATTCCAATAAAGTTTATATTCGTTTGTAAAACACTTCGATTTTTCTGATTTTTCTGATTCCCGCCTCCGACGTTCTTTATGCTAGCGGCACAACATTATATTACAAGAATTTCAATATTTTCTAGAAAATGTTACAATAAAATAAAAAAAAATTATATAATAAAACCTAAAGAAATACAGTAATTTTATAAATGGTACTTATATTGATAATGGTTTTGCAGCGTAAAATAAAATTTCTGTAAGACTAATTTACGTTGACATACATCATTTAGTAACAGCGCTCATGGCGAAACTTGTTGCATTGAAGATTGTAGGAAAATGTGCATTATCTTTCTACGTAAACAAATTGTCACTAGTTTGTTCAGTTTTTAAGATATTTAAAAAATCTAATCAAGGTGCCATTCCAATGACGGCAATCTTATTCTGTATAAAACAAATGATATGACATTTCGTATGCCACATTCTATTTCTTAAAGTAATATGTACACTTTCATGTCCGCTCAATTTCGACTCGTAATACTACATCTAACAGAATTTCCATAGAAAGCTCTATAGAAAGCTCGAAGCTCATAGAATAGAATTCGTTCATAAAGTTAAAAAAAATCAATTTTTACAAGAATAGTTTTAATAAGATAATTAAATAGTATGACACTTCGTATGTGCCATCCTGTAGTACTAAAAATTTGAATATAATTTCAACTAAATATTCTTTGAAATATTACAATTAAGATCGAAGTAATTTAAAACTTCTTCGTATAAACCACATTTCAAAAATTTGTTTCAAATTTTTTATTCTCAAGTATTCATTGAAACGTGTAATATCAGATTATAAGCACATTACATCGCGGTCTACATTCAAAATGCTTTTTTGCAGGAGCTGTTGCAGCTGCTTGGTATAAACGAGATTCTGCCGATCAGTTCTACATACTCCTTGACTAAGTCTATCTGCAATATCAATAAAGAAATATGCGCCAATGGGCTATTTTTTTTCTGCGGTTTCGATAGGGAGCAATTAAATAATGTGAGTATTCTGCAAATAACGAAACTGATTTCCATTTTCTGATCGGGTTTTCGTCATCATTTCACCCGCATGATCATAAGTTTCCGATTTTTAGACTTTGTTGTCTACATTTTTGAGTCACAATCCAGCTGGTACCTCGATCAAAATGGTACTACATTTGCATCAGATAGTTAATTCCGGGAAGTTTTGCCAATACGATTACGGTCGCATGAAAAATCTACAGATCTACAATACATCCGAACCGCCAGATTACAATCTCGCGAACATCACCACACCGTTCGCGTTGTTCTACGCCGAAAACGATCCGATAACCACCGTCCCGGTAGGTATAGCGAATAAAGCATTTAAATCATTAAGAGACATATTGGAGATGAATATGTTTTAACCGTTTGTACATATAAGGCTTTATATCACAAAGGAAATGTAAGAGCGATCACAAAATTATTTCTTTAAGGATGTGAAAGAACTCATCAGCCTGTTACCTAATGTAGTGGACGAATATACAGTGCCGTTTCCTAAATTCAACCATCTGGATTTCGTATTTGCCATAGATGCACCTCGGCTTGTATACGATAGATTACTCAAGGTCTTAAAAGAAATATTATAATTAAGAAATTGCAATTGTATATTTTAATAAAAATATTTTAATATTTTAATTATAAAGGAAAACCGATACTGACAGGTCTTATAAAAAAACCTTATTTCCTCCCTTATTTCTCAAAAACTAATTATTACACTTTATTAATGCTAATCAAAACTCATAATTTATACATTTGTGGCTTGTTTCTATACAAAATCGGCTAGGAGCTAATCCTACAAATGCGAAAATAAAATTCTTACGATTTTTTTTTGCAAATTGTATAGTTTAAATAGCTGTGATTATATTATTATTGATAATATTACATTGTTTTATGCAAAATAATTCGAAATAAATGTTTGTCCTTATAATGTCATATTCCTGACTTAATTCTAAGACGATTTTCTTTTTGCGAAAATTTTATACGAAGCATAGTTTTTAATTAGAGCAAGAAATATTTAGTGAATAACGGAAAGCATATGATAGGCAAGAATGGTGTAACTCATTGCCCGATACGCAGACGATACGTACGTAAATACAGTCAGTACGTGGACAGAATGATTGTAACAATAACACTTATTTAGTGAATTTCAAAACTCAGCCTCACCGAGTAATCGGTTGAAGACATGAGAGCCTTTTTTCTGTGACCGCAAAATGATCCCTTTAATGTCTTGCCTACCTGTATATTTTCATTTATTCGTGCCTATTTTCTTCCGTGTATTCTTGTCTACCTTCATAAAAGTGCAGTAACGCGAATATAATCTATTATTACAGTACAAATGTCCGAAATCGTAGGAATATCCTAAAAATAGTCCCAAGTAAAATAAAAGAGATATCTTTAGGAAATCTCTTTTATTTTACTTGAAATCTTTGATGTATTTTAGACACATATGCTGTATGAGAGACGTTAGTAACTATGTTCTATTGTGTTCTGGTAAATCAACGGGATAATCTAATCGCAATCATACTAAATAAATAATCAATAATTTAAAAAATAAAAGAACTCGCAATTTGCGAGCAAATTTACCCTCCCGAAGGTAATTACCCTCCCGCTATATTTAGCTCACCTTTATATAAACTTTGAAACTTTATTTGGCTAATATTCTGGCTTCATATATGCCTGAAATCGACAAGAAGAAATACTCCTTTTTATTACCAGCTAATTTTACTGGTAATAAGCGTAAGTTTTTATACTTTTGTACGATGCGCGAAACACGAACACGTTACGAAAGGGCCATCACATTAATAAAATCACTATAAAAATAATGTAATAATTCTATTGATATCCGAATAAATTATGCGTTTATCCTTTACTCGCAATTAGAAATATGTTTATTCGCAATTAGAAATATGTATCTAGTTATTAAAATATCAATCCAATTAAAAATAAATTTAAATTAAAAAAAAAATTCATGTTAATAGCATTTTGATTCGAAGAGACTCCGTCGCGAATATTACAAAATTTAGTTTCTTAATATAAACTTTATAATATAAAAATACAATTTTAATTTAAAAATAAATAAATAAAAATTATTCAACCGATTGCCGTCCGATACAATCTAAGGCCCATACGTGTATTTTCATCGATTCGAGCGATGCTGAATTTCATTTCGAAAATATGCGGAGATAAGAAATTCAGAGGAATGACGTAAGATTCAAAAGGGACATAAATTTCCCTCATGAGTATTAATAAAAATATCTTTTTACATTATTTATATTATTAAAGTTATTTTTTATATAAAAATATTATTTCATAATCTAATATTTTAAGTGACGCAAAACAGATCACAATTTTAAAACAATTACTAGATAAAATTCTTCTATTTTATGACAAATATGAATCTCAAGTCATTACTATATTTCAACTGATATAAAATCCAATTATCAATTACTACGAATAGATAAGTTATATAAGTTTAGGTTAAAGTCAATGCATTGAGATAAATAATAATAATTAAGAATCATAAAATATCTTCTATAAAAAAACAAAATAAATTGTACGAAATATACAACTCGACATTAAAATATTTGTTACTATTTCATTAAATGTATATGTATAATTATGAGGCAATCAAAAAAAATTCTGAAAATCCAATATCTGTATATCTGTAATTGCAGTTTTTTGCACTAACTTATATAAAATTTAATCCTGGATGAATATTTGGAAACAGAATAGATTCACTGAGAGAAAAGCGTTTGATATTTGTGATTATAATTGCACAATAAAATAATTAATTATGATTAAGAAGTCCACTTTTATATTTATTACTGCTATAATATTAGTAGTGACAATAACCATAAGTGTGTACAGTTCTTTCAAATATGAAAAAATTATACGATAAATTATGATAATTTCGAATATTAATATAGAAAAACGTGAAAATGTATAATAAATAATATAAAAATTATAAAATAAAAATTATTGTTCAAATAAATGCAATTGCAATTACTACAGACACTTTTTTTTTAATTAATTCACTCTTTACGTGATAATAATAACAAAAAATATATTAAGAAAAACTAATTCTCAAACAGTACGTGCAACAATTATTAATAGCATAATTGACTATACTTGAATGTTATTACTATAAACATATAATTGTCCTAAAAAATGACTGTAAATTATAATTAAATTATGATAATTGTAATCATTTTTTTCTTTCAGTGTATTTGATGATAAATACCGTAAACCAATTTGAAAATATTATCATATGCATTGTATATTCATAAGAAGGCATCTAGGATTAAATTTATCCTAATCTATTCTAACTTATCCATTTTAAGGCAACGGATGTATTTAGGTATGTACACTGAGAGAAAAATGTTTTGTATTTGTAACTATAGTTATAGTAATATGTAATTATAGTTACAAATACCAGACATTTTTCTCAGTGTACAAAAAATACTAATAAAATGACGATTCATCCGTTACTCCAATAAAAATGTTAAATCATCACTCACCGACCGATGCGCAACAGTGGAGTTACAACTGCAATATCGCTACGATGATTCTGCAATAAATTAAAATCCAAATTAAAACAGAGTAAAGAAATAATCATTATTTTAAAAAATAATTATTATATGAACGTATGCAGTTTTTTGGAAAATAATTATGCAAATTTGAAAATATGATTTTTATAGGCATCGAATTTTGTATCTATTATTCAGTTAGATATAAAATAATCACATAATCTCTAAAAGAGATCTCAACAAGAATAAATTTACAAGTATAAAACAAATATAAAATTTTGTTTATATAATTTTTAAGTAACTTTGTTTTTTTTTTCTAATTATTATTTTTGTATTATTATTAAATAAAACGATTTAAGAACGAGCAAAAAAGATTAATTTTACACAAGTAAAAAATATTTACCGCAAAGTTGCTCCACCGATGTCTGATGTCTCTTCCAGATCTCCTCCTCCTCTCAGAATTGGGTTGACATCCTCTCGCACAGGACACTCGCGTAAAACACTCGCGAATAATACTCTATAATCGCGCGCGGACTAATTATTTATCAAAGTCTTTCGCGTAGAACTACAATTCCATCGAATATTTTATGAAAAGTTATTAGTCCGATAACTTCAACGGCACTCTCGAAGCAAACGCGCGACGCGACGAACCGGCTGCGGTTCGTTCATTTCAATTAAATCGGCGGCGAGGGTACGTTAGCTTCCCTATCGGTGAATTTTTACATGAAAAGAATGATTTTATTCAACTATCTAAAAATTTATCTAGATATATCATTCAGATAAATCTGAAAATTTTTAGATACTTAAGAAAAATCATTTTTTTCGTGTATATCCTCCGGGTACTAAGCCCTCCCACCACGTCAAGGTCGTACCCGTGAGAGGGAAAATATCATCTGAAAAATGTAATATATAGCCATTATTTATTATATATTATTATGTAATTATCGATAAACTTTTAAAAATGTATTATACATATATCAAATACTCATCAATTCATCACTATTACGAAATAAATTCGGAGCAGGTAAAAGGGCTGAATCTCTTATTACGATGTCTGTAAGATTAAAGTCAATGGAATGGACTAGAGATTAATAAAAAAGAATATTTCTTTTATTACCGACAGTTCCAAATAAAACGTACGAAATATCTGTTCCGTGATATATGATTATATGTCATCTCGATCCTTTTATGAATAACTAATCGTGGAAGCTAATAATCGTATACTATGAGTTTTCATAAAATACAACGTTACATGTTAGCATTTATCGCAATTATGTTTCAAAAAGAAATGTAAAATTGTGAAGAAGAGAGTCATGCGGCGCGATTACCTCATTTGCTCATATTAATCACAGTATGGGAATGACTACGTAGTAACTGCTCATAAACAAAGGATGCTTTCCAGCAAGGACACAATCAGACACTGTGTAACATAGTGAATCATTACATCCTTGTTGTTTGCCTTGTTGTTAAACAAGGATGGAACAATTTTCTGTGTCTGATTGTGTCCTTGCTGGAAAGCATTCATAATTATACGCCGCCCTTCCGCACAACAACCCCAAGACCGCGTCTAACTGTCGAAATATTAACGCATTTTACAAAATAATTAAAATAATATATATCCTTTACATTTTTAATATTCTCCGATGAATAGATTTCATTGCGTTTTTGCTTTACTTCTTACATTCGTTACACACACACTCAACTCATGAATATTTTCGATATTTCAATTGTGATACGATAAGCGATTATTAGTTATAACTTTTTATTACACGAAATCCGCATAACACAATATTTTTAATAAAGAATTGATGCTTTGAAGCTTTTTGTTACTTTCGTATAGTTTAATTCTGTCATTCACTTTTTATTTCTTTTTCTCATTCTTAATCCGAAAAAAATTACAGGTAAATTATGTTTGAATTATTTATCGCTAAATGTATATATGAATGCTATTCATATATATTATTCTATTTAGTCCAAATTGTTTCATAATTAAAAAAAAATGTTTGCATTTATCTTTATTTAAAGAATGTATAACATATCAAGGTTTATTTATAAATCATATAGATAAAGAGTAACGATTAAATAGATTTGAACTTAATATAAAAACGTAATATCGCAAAGCTATCTATTACTTATGATCATTTACGCCTTATGATAATTACATATGTATAAATAATAATTCCGCAAGAAAAAAGCAATCTAATCTAGATTATCTAAATGTATTTATTCTTTCGCTCAATACTGCTGGTCAAATAGCACTTTCAATTCAATATACTTTACAGTGTAATTCTTGCAAAGTTTCTTAAAGGATCTAAAGAAAAAAAATTGTTTCTGAAATTTTTGTAGAAAATATTGAAACGCATTTGTGTTCCATGCAGCAAGATATGATTTAAATTTAGTCAGTAGTCATGACGAAAACAATCCAAACAGCATTGGCGCCATTATTGATCATCGGCTCGTTTTGCGGTTTAGGCTTGTTCGAATATCCTCTTGGACAACCTAGACCGTATTTCACTTATTTGTATTTCTTAATCACATCGATCCTTTTTACGTATTTCTTTTATTATCTAATTTACAATAGTTATACTCCATATCTATACAGTCTATACATATCTTGGACTAGTGTAATAATAATGATCACTGCGATTGTGTCGATGCTTGTTGGCATATTCCGTTTTAAGGTAAGAATTTTTAAAAATATTCCAAATCTCTAATCTTTTTTAATTTTCAATATTTTTTTAATCTTCATTTAATCGTTAAATGAAATTTTCTTCATTGATGTCCATTTCTATCAATGTAAATTAATTTTAACCTTAATTCAACCCGTTCTTCATGTTTTTCTTTTTTTATATCACTTCTGTGAGAGACAGTACATAGTTTAATTAGAAAAAAATAAAGAGCAAATTAAACCGAAATTAAAATTAATCTACATTGATAGAAACGGGTATCATAAAAAGAAATTTAGTTTAAGATAAAACTTAAACTACATTAATAGAAACGGATATAGAGACGATTAATTTTGATCTCTCATGGTTAGAAACAAATATTAATTTATAAAAATCTTTCAAAAATAAATATCAGTTTTAATATGTTGTATTAATATATTATTTGTTGCGTTCAAAATGCTTGATAGAATTAATATTTGTATTTATATTATTGTCTTGAATTAACTTCCAATAAGATAGCTGAGCCAAGTAAGATCCATCTAATTTTTGTTTTTTAAAATTCTATTTATGGAAATACTAACGTAAGTGAAAATAAAATCTTTATTTTCATCACTCACAAAAATGAAATATATCTTCTATATAGAATATTTGTAAGTAAACGAAAAAAAAAAATGTTTTAATTCTGATATTGGGCCTCATTGCATATGAATATAAGGCTCAAATCAAAATAAAGTAAAAATGACAAAGAAACTGAACATCTTTCTAAATTAGTTTTAAAATTATTAATTATAAAAAGAAAATCCCTTAGGACTTACTCCACTCTAAAACATCACAATTATTTTTAATTTGGTCTATAATTAATCATTTAATCTTTGGAAATTTGTAATAATTTAAATTTGTAATAATTAAATTTGTAATAATTTAAATGTTATTTTAGCTTTTAAAAATTAATAGCATTGAAAATCGTTCTTATTTGATAAGAGTTTATTGTTCCTAAAAAAAATATATTCAATGCAAATAATTCACTTATTTATTCTATTTCCATAGCTAGAAAATTAAATAATATTATAATATATTATAATATTAAACTATAAAATAATGTGCACTTGATAAACTTTGAAGTAAATTATTATATTATAAAAATGGTTCATACATACACTTCGTCATAAGTTTATATTACATTAAACAATGTGTTGCTATCGGTTTTAATTTCCTAGCTCTTTATCTACTTCCTATGACACATCTTTTAAATACTTTTGAAAATGTTATATAAATATTATATTTTAAATATAAATAAATTAAATTAATTAGATAATATGATCAATTTTAATTTTAATTTTAATTTTAAATGTAAAAAAATTGTTAACCTATGTTCTTTATCGCGATAATCCTACAATATAGAGTCATTTGTGACAATGTAAAGGGAAATTGTGATATTGAAAGCTAATATTATAATAATCGTAATCAATATTCTATTAAAGAATGTTAAATAAACATTTCAAAAAATATTTAAAACATTAATTTTCTTTAAAATAATGTTATTTAGATACTATTACATGAGAAAAGAATTATCTGTATCTTCAAATTGCTATATCTCGAAAATAAATCATATCGAAATGAACTAAGATGCATTTTAAAGCTGAAAGTTAATACTTTGATGTGGCATTAAGGAAATTAATTTAAACAACAAGATTAGTTGTCGGTGTTATAACGTTTTTAAAATCAGTTTAAAGTCTTCGTTTTTTGCCTTTTTGACATTAAGATTTTTTTCTCAAAATGATAACGTGATAGTCAATTTTTACTACCGGATTCATGTTCAGTAAAAATACGTCGGACTTTTTACATTCGTGTTGCAAAATGGCGTTCTGTAATATAGTGACCTTATTTTATGCGTAAAGCGCGTTTTTTTAAGTAATACAATTTTTAAGTAATACATTTTAGTGGGCCTTATTCAGCTCAGATACCTTATAATTTTTTAAATCTTATACTTCAAATCCTAATTATATTTTAATAACTTCTCTTTTCTCTATCACATTCTCTATACATATGTTGATAATAATTTAATTTTTATCAACATATAGAATTCCTCTTTATATCACAATTATAACATATAAATTAATGTTTCTTAAAGGAATTAAAAATGTGCTTACGTAAACTTTCTATAGTGGATGACACATTGGAAGTGCTTGGAACAGTAAAGGAATATCAATGGTTGCGTAATTGGATAATTCGAATAATAATCGGATGGATTGTAATGTCTTTTTTCATGAATGCATGCGATAGTCTTTGGTTGAATTACAAATATTTCAGCATCACTCATATGTGTGTTCCATTTTTGGGAAATTATTTGCTTCATGTCAATACATTAAGTGCTTTGACTTGGGGAACTATGCTGGGGTCGGTATAATAAATATATATATGTATATATTTATTTATAATTTATTTATTTACTTTTTAAAGTTATATGTATAGACATATGTATATGTAATGCATTGTAAAATAGCTTAAATGATAAAGTAATATTAAAAATAAAAATATATTCTGTTTGAAAAATAATAAAATCATATTATTCTATATGCTAAATATATACAGGTATACCTATAATAAAAGAATAAACCTCGAAGATGAGCTTCAGAAAAAACGAAAGACTACAAAACGTGAAAGTTTATAATATAAACTTTATATAAACTTTAGATAAATATATATTCGCAAATTCATTGTTTCTGATGAGATATAGTTCAAATATTTATTAATAAAAAATAAAAAAGTAATATTTATTATTGAATACTATAGATTTTTTATTTTTAATTACAACAAATGTTCCAAGTGTCTCCTATTTAATTCAATACGTGCATGAACACGTCGAATTGTTGAGCTATTAATAAACATTTTTAATTATATCTCAATAAGTACACAAGTTTGCGTATATATGTATATATGAATTTTTCATGTCTCTGGAATAAGAAATGGTGCTCGTTCTCAATTTTTATCCCCTTATTTTAGTTTTATATATTAAAATAAAAGTTTAGTAATATATTAAAATAAAAAAATACAAAATTTTAATTTATTGTTATTTCATTACTTATTAATAATAAAATATATGTATA